TAGAGACAAAATCCTCCAATTTCAAGAAGAGAAAAAAATTGAGACAAAATAGCTTGAACGTCCTCCATTCCATGATAGCATCAAGAACATACAAAAAAGTAAGACCAATTTCATGTAGCATATTATCCAGTTATTAAAAATTTTAGTGTAAAATGTAAATTATAACCACATATACATAAAAAATCAAATAACCTCACTCTCAAGCCTCCTCCTACAACAGGAGTTGTTAAGAAGAGAAAAGAAAAAACCTTTTTCGACGGTAAAAATGAAAAATTTTGGGTGATGAAATATGTTGTCTGCTGTCCATGGTGAAATCTGTTGTCCAAGATGAAATCTGTGGTCTGCTGTCCGTAGCGAGAAACCTTTGATGAAATTTCGCTCTCCATTAATGGTTGTCTAGCTGTCCATGGTCGTGACTCGCCATTTCTAGGTCTCCATTGTGCCTCCAACCTTGTTCCAATCTGGGACCCAAAAATCAGGATCTGAAATTTTATACCCAAAATATGAAAATCTCAATCTAGCAACAAAAGAAATTGGTAAGAAAATGAAGAAATTGTAAAAGCATCTCGGTCGAAACCTCAAAATTAGAAAGAAAAAAAATTCCAATCAGCGGCGAGCTACTTACCTGCGGCAGTGCTCCCTCTCTCTTTGTCCGTCTCTCTCTCTCTCTCGCTACGGCGAAGTGCCGATCGGAATTGGACGGCGGAAGCCCCCTTCTTATTCGTCTCTCTCTCGCTACAGCGGTGCTGATTGGAAATGGACGGCAGAAGCCCTCTTATTATTCGTTCTTATCCGAATGCGTGGTCCAAAACACCAGCGGCTACTGTAGCTCATCAAATGGGCGGGAATACTGTTCATAAACGCATCCTAGCGTTGTATATAGTTAGATTCTAAGATCAGTAGATTTAGACATTTAGTGTATAAACAATAGTTTGAAGTTTGTTAAAAAAGAAATTTTCAAACTCTTACAAATTTACATCTAAAAGTTATCAATCACAATTATAAATTTGGCATAAAGTGTATTAAAGCATAATGGATATAGAACAAATTGAAATGAGTTCATCCATGTCTATTCAAGAAATATTACCAGATCTCAAAAAATGAGAGGTATAATGAGTCACCCTAGAGTAAGTCAAAAACATTTTTTCTATGTGTAGACACTGCATAAAATTTATATGTTTCATATATTGGTAATGTACAATAGAGATTTGAATACAGATTTCACTAATGGTATGTTTGGGAACATGGATTTGGATTTTAAATCTGGATTTGGCTTAAATTCCATGTTTGGGAAACTTAAGCATTTTGAATTTGGATTTGAATCAAATTCTTTACATTCAAAACCAAGCTTAATTTGAAATCCATGCACCTCCCCTTGTCATTTGAAATTCAGGATTTCAAATTTTGGAATTGAAATACATGAATTGAAATGAAATGCTAGTTGCCAAACACTACCTAAANCTAATGGTATGTTTGGGAACATGGATTTGGATTTTAAATCTGGATTTGGCTTAAATTCCATGTTTGGGAAACTTAAGCATTTTGAATTTGGATTTGAATCAAATTCTTTACATTCAAAACCAAGCTTAATTTGAAATCCATGCACCTCCCCTTGTCATTTGAAATTCAGGATTTCAAATTTTGGAATTGAAATACATGAATTGAAATGAAATGCTAGTTGCCAAACACTACCTAAAGTGATTTGACTATTTATTTTTACTGTAAAAGTAATTTGACTTTTTTTTTTTACCTAAGAAGTGATTTGACTTATTATTCCAAGTTTTTTTTTGAACAGGACGTACGTAAATTAAGATAGAAAAACGAAGATCAAAGAACCGTTCATGTGTATGCCTAAACACGTGGTGGCCAGTGGGCATTGGGGCTCGACAGTTTTCTTCTCAACTGCAAAGGCAAAAACTTCTAGATTCAAAAGAAAGGGAAAAAAACACAGAGAATAGAGAGTCAAAGTGAGAAAAAGGATGGAAAGAGAGAGGGGGTAAGTGAGGTCATCATGATATTTGTCTCTGTCTCTCCTGCAAGGCAAAGCTAGGGAAGAAGCAGAGGAATTAACATGTTCTACTCGCATGTTCTCCTCTCAAAGAAGGGGCATTTAGGGAATATTTGGATTGCTGCTCATTTCTATAAACGCCTCAAGAGATTCCAAGTGAGCCAGACCAACATATCTTATTCTGTCGGCAAGTAGTCTTCCATTTCTATTGCTTAATTGCCTTTTCACCTGATTTCCCCCCAATGCTCTTTCCCCATTTTAATCTTTCTTTTTCTGTCATGTATTGGACGCCCGATATATTGTGATCTTGTCTCCATTGAAACATATATAGTTCCCAACCCTTGCTCGAATTGCTCACTGTATGGGCAGTGTAGTGTGGTGGTTGTTTTCAGAGAGGGGTGCAATTGATCTCCAATTTAGGTTTTGATTTCCTTTAAAAAAACATGGGTTTCTTATATGTTTTGTTATTTCAAAATGAAATGAAATAATAATAATTAGGTAGTGTCTCGGAACTAGCATTTATTTCAACTCATGTATTTCAATTCCAAAATTTGAAGTCTTGAATTTCAAATGACAATGGAAGATATGGATTTCAAATTAAGCATTGTTATGAACTAGAGGAACATGACTCAAATCCAAATCCAATTTTTTTTATGTTTCCCAAACAAGGATTTTGAGCCAAATCCGGATTTGAAATCCAAATACAAATTCCCAAACATGCCATAAATAAAATTAAATCTCTCTAGCCTCCCGCGTGTCTTGGATTTCTTCATGTTCGCGTTAGTTCAATTTCATTATTTCTAATCTCAGTATTTGTCTTTAATTTTTTCAGATAAAATTTTGGTAGATGAAGTACCTGTTGTCACTTATAGAATTTTAGGCCACCTTCTTGTGGGCATTGTCAGAATATATTCAAAGAAAGTTGAATATCTCTTCCATGATTGCCACAAGGTGCTGGCTGAGTTTGTCGATTTTGCAATTTTAAAGAGATCAAAACCAAAGTTTGGAGCCCTACATTCATCTTGCTGCCCAATCTCTCTCCCTAGGAGTTTTGAACTTGATGCTTTTGAGTTGGATGATCAAGATGGGTGCAAGTGAGCTATAAAGTTACTTAATACAATGTGTTTCCTATTTTTCCTGTCATTCAGGTGTTTTTAGATTCTTCACCACTTTTATGCTTTCATTCTTTGGTTTGCAGTGCTCATGTAAGACAAGGTGAAGATATCACGCTTTCGGGTAATTGAAAGTCTTAGGTATTCAGTTATACTGTTTTCCTTGATATAAATTTGCAGTTCTATTTACTAGATGCATGGAAGAGTGAGCACTTTGGGCTTGTCTTCTTACCTGATAAGGTATTTCGTAGCCATCTATGTAGTTACCTTTTGTTTATTGTGAATATTTATTTCTTCATAGTTCATAAAAAATATGCTGCCCTGAATCTGAATTATAACTATTCCATAATCCATAATAAAACATTCTTCTGAAGCTACTTCTGCAGAGTATTCAAATTATTTTTCTTGAGTAGAACAACTGCATGCTATTGGACTGTTTCATACATATTATTGTCCTTATTTGTCTACTTATTATGTAAGGCTGCCAAGTTATAACTTCCTCCATCTCATTTGGTTTGATTCACATACAACTCATAAGTCAGTTCCCCCACCCTGGTTATGTTCTAAAGTTCTTTATTCCAGATTTAAAGTTCATTTGTTAGCAGGTTGATCTAACAATATCAATATTGAAATGGGACATGAAAATAACAGATATCTCAACTCATTGCTGTCTCATGATATTTTCTGTGAAACTGGAAATAATCTATAATGGTAATGGTTTTAGGACTCCCATCTCATTGTTTGTGGTAAAGGTTGCAACAATAAAGGCATCTGACCATTGTCACTGTGTGTTCTGCTTGACTTTAGTGTTACCGGGGTTTGATAGACGATGTTTTTTGCATGAATATTGAATGTTTTGTGGGGGGGGGGGATGAATTTATAATTTTATTTCCATTGACCCCAATTAGTTGTGATTAAAGAGTGTCAATCCCCTATGAGTGAGGGACCAAATATGGAAGTGCCTATAACTAGGGGATTGAGTTGATTATTCCTAAATTATATGAGCTGCTGTTTGTCATTTTTTAAGGGATTAATGGAGTGTCTTTTATATAGATTTGAAACATAAATGGTTAGTAACAATTTTAAATTGTCGGAACTGAAATCCAAAGTTGAAGGTTCCATGTTAAGAAGACATATACTGAATATATAATGTCAGCACCTTCTTAATTTGCAGTCTCATGGTCCTGCAGAGATTTCAATTTCTCCAGCAAATTCCCCAGACCACACTCCCATCAGAGAGTATGTATCAGTTACAGTTAATTGTTATGTGTGTATATTGGCATAATGGCACTGTAGGGTTTACGTGGTTTACATGTGTTGTTGTAGTGTTTGTTCACCTTACTTTGCCAAAAATGGTTCCAATGTCGGCTCGACAAGTTACAAAACCAATTTGATTCCCATGGAAAAGCTTTGCTTGAGTAGGTTCTCTTTGGAAAAGTGTATATATCCTTTGAGTTTTGAAGATACTGCAAACATAGCGTTCAATGATCAGGAGACTAATCAAACACATCAAACGGATGATGAGCAAATAAAACAGCCTGGCTCCGATATTTACAACCTCACAGAATTTGATGAAAATTGTACGTTTTCACTAGAAGATCGTTTGGATCCAATGATTATTGACGATGATGAATTTGAAGCTGCCTTTGCTCACGAGCAGATAAAACATCTTGAGTCAGATATGTCTTACATTGACATGGTGCCCCTTGATAAATCTTCATATGAAAAGCAGCCCCAGGATTTGGAACCTTTGGGCATACGAGAAATAACCCCCCCTAACTGTGCAAAACTTCAAACTTCCATAAATCATCCGGTTTCCCTTTCTGTTGATGTGATCCGAGATTCCAAGTGTCCAGGTGGTTCTGGTAGGCATCCATCCTCATATAAATAGTTTTTTGGATCATAATCCACCAGGTGGATATAGCTCGTAGTGTATAGTTGAAATGAAACAGATATGTGGACTTGCTTTGCATTTACTTTCCTTTGATTGGGATATTTTTCATTGTTAGCTGCATCTAATTTATTTTTTCTTTCTAAAAACTGTAGGGTGTTAAACAGTCTACTTAGTAGTTAACGTCATTTCCTCTATTCAGGCACTGCATCACTCAATATCATGTCTGTTCGTACACCAGCTGCTAAGGAGCGGTCAAGGGCTCTGAAGAAACGAAGATGTGTATTTGATAATCCTGTTGTGATCTCTAATCAGTATGAAATCAATGCCTGTCCACTTATAATATCTACATTGTGATAAATGGTCCTATTCTTGTTGCAATGGTAGTGGTTCAAGGACGTTCTTGCGATTTCAAAACTATTTGTTCACAATATCCACATATAATGACATTAAGTAATTTCTGCATAAACTTCCCTTGAAGTATTTATACTTACCCAGCCTATGCTATCTGCCTTTCTCTCTTCCTTAGATCTGGTCATTGATACAAAAGCTTTGCATGCAACCAAATCATATTCATATGCAGAATATTTTTTTAATAGTTTTCAGATGCAATATAGTTTGTGAAAATAATTTTGAAAAAAAAACAATTATCATAGTATGGGGAGGCTTTGCTGACAATCACTTTTGGGCCGTGATCTTTTTTCATTTAGTTTTGTTCACACATCCATTCTTGAAATTACAGTGTGTATAAGAATTGGCTAAACAACCAGGACGACTTGATACACAAAAGAAAGAAAGCTCCTCACATTCCATTACTTGCCTGGAAACATGAGAAGTTCTCATCTCTTCCTGGAAGTCTTACGGAGCCTTTGATTCCATGTTGTAAGTTCAGAGTTTTTAATATAGTTTTTTTTGGTCACATATACATTTGTCACTCTAGTGGTTTGTATGGCTCTGGTCAGGTGCTTTGGTAGACACTAGCCATTTAGTTCGTGAGATGGCGAATATGACAGTGCCGGTTGATAGTGTGAAATTCGCTGAGATTAACGACGTACAAGTATCTCCTGCCAAACATAGATCCCGCGAACAAACTCCAATTGCTCCTTCAACACCAGTAGCCCTTACAAACTCCTGTAGAATTCATGAGGCACATGTGAGTGATGATCTGGACATAATGGAGCCTCCACACTCAGTTAAAAGTATGCACGAAGTTGCACAAGAAACTGAGGATCTTGAGTTTGATATTAATTTGATGGATGAGGTGAATGTTGCGTTTTTCCTTCTTACTAGCTTTATCACTCATATCAACATCGGTTAGATGCTCATTTGCTCCGTAGTTGAGCTAGAGTTGATGCATTTAATCGAAGGATGGATACTTTTTTTTGTACTCCTTTAATTTTCAGCTATCATTTTTAAAATTTATGAGAAGGCTAAAGCGTTTTCCACGGTTCATTTTCAGGAAACTAATTCAGGTGAAGGGGACATCTTGGAGAAATGTAAGAAAGTGCTATGTTGTTACATCCTTTTGAATTTTTGTCATCATTAGGCACAATAGCAACAACCATTTTTTACACGTGCATGCCTTATTCTGTTTGCAGATGAATGTTCAGCAAGAACGAGGTACAATGGATAAGGACAGTCTTCCTAAATTTACCTTTATTTTTTCCTGCTGTAATGGCGACATCATGCCTTTGTAGCTTGAGTGTTGTTCATGATATTTTTTTGATTTCTTGCCATACAGAAAGGTTGCAATGTTTCTGCTTAGACACTTGTTAGCTCGAAAGGGTAAACCTGTTAACTTGTCTTGCACCCTTGAAGGAAGAACCAAAACACAAAGTGCAAAGGTGTTCTATGAGATACTGGTAAGTTGGTTTGGTCCATTAATTTTTATTGCATCATGCCATGCCTCTTAACAGGGCATATATCTGCTGTTAAAAGAATAAGATTCACTGTGGTTAATGAACCCATATTCATTTTGTTTTAGGGTACTCCTGGTTAGTGATCAAAATTCTGCCTAAAGAACAATCAATCATATCGATCGAACATATGGTTTTAGTGATTTGAAATCTGAGCAGAAACATGTCTATCGTCTAGGTTTTGAAGACAGAAGGTTGGATAGATGTGCGGCAGGATGATGCGCGGGGTGACATTTGTGTGTTTGAATCTCCCAAACTGAAGCCAAACACTTTTGCAGAAGGGAAGAAGCAGATGAAGGAGACGCATGTGCTGTAGCATTCTCAGTAGTCCTCTTTTATGTTTCCTTTGAATATCAAACATGCAACTCTTATTTTGAGGATAAATACTACTACCTCCGACCCTGAATATTTTTCTGGTTTGACTTTTTTTAGTAAACTATTTTCAACGTTTGACCTATAATTAAATAAAATATATATTATATATTAATTAGATAAAATAATGTTTTGAAAAATATTTGATATAATAAATTCTTTGTAAAATTTTAATGTCAAAAAAACTTGTCAATAACGTTTTAATATTAATTTTATGAGTTTTGGCCTCGAGCTCTAGGGGTGTGATCACATTTTTTGGTTAAATTTTACATTCATAAAAAAAGTTGTCAAGTTTTACACGGATGGTTCTAATTGCATGTAAAATCCTCTTTAAAAGATTAATGTAAAAAAGACTAGTCAATGACAAATAGACTTGTCAATAATGTCTTAATTATTATTTTTTTAGTTTTGGCCTCGAGCTCTAGGGGCACCATTACATTTTTTTTGGCTAAATTTTAAATTCATCAAAAAAGTTGATTAATTTTGCATTGATGTTTCTAATTGCATGTAAAATCCTTTGTAAAAGATTCATGTCAAAAAGACTTGTCAATAATGTCTAAATTATTATTTTTTAGTTTTGCCGTCGAGCTCTAAGGGGTATCATCACATTTTTTGGCTAAATTTTTAATCCATAAAAAAAGTTCCAAAATTTGACATGGATGTTTCTATTTACATGTAAAATCTTTTTAAACGTTTCATGTCAAATAGAATTGTGGATAACGTCTTAATTATTATTATTTTTAGTTTTTTGGCCAAATTTTAAATTCATCAAGGAAGTTGCCGAATTTGACATGGATGTTTCTTTTTGCATGTAAAATATTTTGTAAAAATTTCATGTCAAAAAGACTTGTCAATAATGTCTAAATTATTACTGTATTTTTTTAGTTTTGTCATGGAGCTCTATGGGGTACTATCACTACACTTTTTTGGCTAAATTTTATATCAATAAAATAAGTTACAAAATTTTAAATGGGGGCTTCTATTTACATCTACAATCCTTTGTAAGAGTTTCATGCCAAATAGACTTGTCAATAACGTCTTAATTATTATTTTTTTAGTTTTAGCCTCGATCCCTAAAGGCACCATCACATTTTTTTGGCCAAATTTTAAATTTATCTAAAAAGTTGCTGAATTTCACATCGATGTTTCTATTTCATGTAAAATGCTTTGTAAAAGTTTCATAACAAATAGACATATCAATAATGTCTTAATTATTATTTTTTTAGTTTTGGTCTCGATCTCTAGGGGCACCATCACGTTTTTTGGCTAAATTTTAAATTCATCAAAAAAGTTGATGAATTTAAAATGGATGTTTCTATTTGCATGTAAAATCCTTTGTAAAAGATTCATGTCAAAAAGACTTATATCAATAATGTCTAAATACTTATTTTTTTAGTTTTGCCCTCAAGCTTTAAGGGGTAGCATCACATTTTTTTGGCTAAATTTTAAATTCCTCAAAAAAGTTGCAAAATTTGACATAGATGTTTCTATTTACATGCAAAATCTTTGTTAGAGTTTCATGTCAAATAGACTTGTCAATAACGTCTTAATTAATATTTTTTAGTTTTAGCCTCGATCCCTAGGGGTACGTACCATCACGTTTTTTTGGTCAAATTTAAATTTATCAAAAAAGTTGCCGAATTTCAACTTGATGTTTCTATTTGCATGTAAAACGCTTTGTAAAAGTTTCATGCCAAGTAGACATATCAATAATGTCTTAATTATTTTTTTTTAGTTTAAGACTTGAGCTTTAGGGGTACCATCATGTTTTTTTGGCTAAATTTTAAATTCATCAAAAAAGTTGATGAATTTGACATTGATGTTTCTAATTGCATGTAAAATCCTTTGTAAAATATCCATGTCAAAAAAACTTGTCAATAATGTCTAAATTATTATTTTTTACTTTTGCACTCGAACTCTAAGGGGTATCATCATATTTTTTGTCTAAATTTTTAATCCATCAAAAAAGTTCCAAAATTTGACATGGAAGTTTCTATTTGCATGTAAAATCCTTTGTAAAAATTTCATGTCAAAAATACTTGTCAGTAATGTATACATTATAATTTTTTTAGTTTTGGTCTCGAGCTCTAGGGGTATTATCACATTTTTTGTCCAAATTTTAAATTTATAAAAAAACTTTCCAATTTGACATGAATATTCTTTTTGAATGTAAAATACTTTCTAAAAGTTTCATGTCAAAAAGACATGCCAGTAATGTCTAAATTATAATTTTTTTAGTTTTGGCCTCGAGTTTTAGGGGTAACATCACATTTTTTGGCCAAATTTTAAATTCATCAAAATATTATCCAAATTTGAGATGGATATTTATATTTGCATGTAAAATCCTTTTTAAAAGTTTCATGTCAAAAATACTTGTCAGTAATGTCTAAATTATAATTTCTTTAATTTTGGCTTCGAGCTCTAGGGGTACCATCACACTTTTTTGGCAAAATTTTAAATTCATCAAAAAATTTCCCAAATTTGACATGGATATTTCTATTTGCATGTAAAATCCTTTGTAAAAGTTTCATGTCAAAAAAACATGTCAGTAATGTATAAATTATAATTCTTTTAGTTTTGGCCTCGAGCTCTAGGCCAAAACTCATCACTTTTTTTGGCCAAAATTTAAATTCATCAAAAAACTTTCTAAATTTGACATGGACATTTCTATTTGCATGTAAAATCTTTTGTAATAGTTTCATGTGAAAAAGACTTGTCAGTAATGTATAAGTTATACTCCCTCCGTCCCATTTTATAATGCCTGTTTCGGTTGACGATGTTTGACTAAAGTTATTTTCAAATCATTTTATATGAAAAATGGAATAGAGTTAAAAAATAAAAATTTTATATCAAAATACTACATAAAAAAATCTACAAAACTAGTAGTGACAACAATATTTTAATTGATCAAATTGCTAAGGAAAATAGAGAAAGAAAAAGAATGAACTTTGACCCTGTGAATAGTAAACACGCATTATAATTTGGGACGGAGGGAGTAATTTTTTAAGTTTTGGCCTCGAGCTCTAGGGGTAACATCACATTTTTTGGCTAAATTTTAAATTCATCAAAAAACTTGCCAAATCTGACATGGATTTTTCTATTTGCTTTTAAATTTCTTTGTAAAAGTTTAATGTCAAAAAAACTTGTCATTAATATCTAAATTATAATTGTTTTATTTTTGGCCTCGAGCTCTAGGGGTACCATCATATTTTTTAGCCAAATTTTAAATTCATCAAAAAATTTGCAAAGTTTGACATGGATATTTATATTTGCATGTAAAATCCTTTGTAAAAGTTTCATGTCAAAAAGAGTTGTCACTAACGTCTAAATTATAATTTTTTAGTTTTGACCTCGAGCTATGGGTACCAGCACATTTTTTGGCCAAATTTTAAATTCATCAAAAAACGTGCCAAATTTGACATGGATATTTACATTTGCATGTAAAATCCTTTATAAAAGTTTCATGTCAAAACGAGTTGACAGTAATGTCTAAATTATAATTTTTTAGTTTTGGCCTCGAACTATAGAGGTACTATCACATTTTTTTGGCCAAATTTTAAATTCATCAAAAAAGTATTCAAATTTGACATGGATATTTATATTTCAATGTAAAATCCTTTGTAAAAGTTTCATGTCAAAAAAATTTGTCAGTAATGTCTAAATTATAATTTTTTTAATTTTGGTCTTGATCTCTAGGGGTACCATCACTTTTTTTAGCCAAATTTTATATTCATCAAAAATTTTGCCAAATTTGACATGAATATTTATATTTTCATGTAAAATCCTTTGTAAAAGCTTCATGTCAAAAAGACTTGTCAGTAATGTCTAAATTATAATTTTTTTAATTTTGGTCTCGAGCTCTAGAGGTACCATCACATTTTTTAGCCAAATTTTAAATTCATCAAAAAATTTGCAAAATTTGACATGGATATTTATATTTGCATGTAAAATCCTTTTTAAAAATTTAATGTCAAAAAAACTTGTCAGGTAATATCTAAATTACAATTTTTTACATTTTGGCATCGAGTTCTAGGGGTACCATCACATTTTTAGCCAAATTTTAAATTTATCAAAAAATTTGCCAAATTTGACATGGATATTTCTATTTGCATGTAAAATACTTTGTAAAAGTTTCATGTCAAAAAGACTTGTCAGTAATGTCTAAATTATAATTTTTTAGTTTTGGCCTCGAGCTTTAGGGGTAATATCACATTTTTTGGCCAAATTTTAAATTAATCAAAAAATTTGCCAAATTTGACATGATTATTTATATTTGCATGGAAAATTCCTTTATAAAAGTTTCATGTCAAAACGGCTAGTCAGTAATGTCTAAATTATAGTTTTTTTTTTAAATTTGGCCTCGAACTCTAGGGGTACGATCACATTTTTTGGCCAAATTTTAAATTCATAAAAAAATTTGCCAAATTTGACATGGATATTTATATTTGCATGTAAAATTATTTGTAAAAGTTTCATGTCAAAAAGACTTGTCAGTAATGTATAAATTATATTTTTTTTAATTTTGGCCTCGAGCTCTAGGGGTACCATCACATTTTTTGGCCAAATTTTAAATTCATCAAACAATTTGCAAAATTTGACATGGATATGTATATTTGCATGTAAAACCCTTTATAAAAGTTTCATGTCAAAAAGACTGGTCAGTAATGTCTAAATTATAGTTTTTTAATTTTAGTCTTGATCTCTAGGGGTACCATCACTTTTTTTAGCCAAATTTTATATTAATAAAAAAATTTTCCAAATTTGACATGGATATTTATATTTGCATGTAAAATCCTTTGTAAAAGTTTTATGTCAAAAAGACTTGTCAGTAATGTCTAAATTATAATTTTTTTAATTTTGGCCTCGAGCTCAAGGGTACCATCACATTTTTTGGCCAAATTTTAAATTATCAAACAATTTGCAAAATTTGACATGGATATTTATATTTGCATGTAAAATCCTTAATAAATGTTTCATGTCAAAAAGACTTGTCAATAATGTCTAAATTATAGTTTTTTAGTTTTGACTTTGAGCTCTAGGGGTACCATCACATTTTTTGTCCAACTTTTTAATTTATCAAAAAACGTGCCAAATTTGACATGAATATTTATATTTGCATGTAAAATCCTTTGTAAAAGTTTCATGTCAAAAAGACTTGTCAGTAACGTATAAATTATAATTTTTTAGTTTTGGCCTCGAGTTCTATGGGTAACATCACATTTTTTGGCCAAATTTTAAAATTCATAAAAAAACTTGCCAAACTTGACATGGATATTCTTTTTTAATGTAAAATACTTTCTAAAAGTTTCATGTAAAAAAGACTTGCCAGTAATGTCTATTTTTTTTTAGTTTTGGCCTCGAGCAATGGGGGTACTATCAGATTTTTTGGCAAATTTTTAAATTCATCAAAAAATTGACATGGATATTTCTATTTGCATGTATAATCCTTTGTAAATGTTTTATGTCAAAATAATATGTGAGTAATGTATAAATTATAAATCTTTTAGTTTTGGCCTCGAGCTCTAGGGGTAACATCATATTTTTTGGCCAAATTTTAAATTTGTCAAAAAATTTTCCAAATTTGACATTGATATTTATATTTGCATGTAAAATCCTTTGTAAAAGTTTCATGTCAAAAAGACCTTTCAGTAATGTCTAAATTATAATTTTTTTAGTTTTGGCCTCGAGCTCTATGGGTACCAACACATTTTTTGGCCAAATTTTAAATTCATCAAAAAATTTTCCAAATTTGACATGGATATTTATATTTGCATGTAAAATCTTTTATAAATGTTTCATGTCAAAACGACTTGTCATTAATGTCTAAATTATAATTTTTTTTAATTTTGGTCTCAATCTCTAGGGGTACGATCACATTTTTTAGCCAAATTTTAAATTCATCACAAAATTTGCCAAATTTGACATGGATATTTATATTTGAATATAAAATCCTTTGTAAAAGATTCATGTCAAAAAGACTTGTCAGTAATGTCTAAATTATAATTTTTTTAATTTTGGTCTCGAGCTCTAGCGATACCATCACATTTTTTAGCCAATTTTTAAATTCATCAAAAAATTTGCCGAATTTGACATAAATATTTATATTTGCATGTAAAATCCTTTGTAAAAGTTTGATTTCAAAAAGACTGGTCAGTAATGTTAAAATTATAAATTTTTTAATTTGGGTTCCGAGCTCTAGGAGTACCATCACATTTTTTAGCCAAATTTTAAATTCATCAAAAAATTTGCAAAATTTTACATGCATATTTTTATTTGAATGTAAAATCCTTTGTAAAAGTTTAAAGTCAAAAATACTTGTCAGTAATGTCTAAATTAAATTTTTTTTAGTTTTGGTCCGAGATCTAGGGGTACCATCACATTTTTAAGCCAAATTTTGAATTCATCAAAAATTTGCCAAATTTGACATGGATAGTTATATTTGCATGTAAAATCCTTTGTAAAAGTATAATGTCAAAAAAACTTGTCAGTAATGTCTAAATTATAATTTTTTTAGTTTAGGTCTCGAGCTCGAGAGGTAACATCATTAATTTTGGCCAAATTTTAAATTCATAAAAAAATTTGCCAAATTTGACATGGATATTTATATTTGCATGTAAAATCCTTTCTAAAACTTTCATGTCAAAAAGACTTGTCAGTTTTGTATAAATTATAATTTTTTTAGTTTTGGCCTCGACCTCTATGGGTAGCACCATATTTTTTGGCCAAATTTTAAATTAATCAAAAAATTTTCCAAATTTAACATAGATATTTATATTTGCATATAAAATCCCTTATAAAAGTTTAATGTCTAAATTATAATTTTTTTTAATTTTGGTCTTGGGCTCTAGGGGTACTATAACATTTTTTAGCAGAATTTTAAATTCATCACAAAATTTGCCAAATTTGACATGGATATTTATATTTGAATGTAAAATCTTTTGAAAAAGTTTTACGTCAAAAAGACTTGTTAGTAATGTCTAAATTATAATTTTTTTGTTTTGGCCTCGAACTCTAGGAGTACCATCACATTTTTTTGCCAAATTTTAAATTCATTAAAAAATTTGCCAAATTTGAAATGCATATTTATATTTGCATGTAAAATCCTTTGTAAAAGTTTAATTTCAAAAAAATTTGTCAGTAATGTCTAAATTAAAATTTTTTTAGCTTTGGTCCGAGCTTTAGGGGTACCTTCACATTGTTTAGCCAAATTTTAAATTCATCAAAAAATTTGCCGAATTTGACATGGATATTTATATTTACATGTAAAATCCTTTGTAAAAGTTTAAGATCAAAAAGACTTGTCAGTAATGTCTATATTACAATTTTTTTAATTTTGGTTCGAGATCCAGGGGTACCATCACATTTTTAAGCCAAATTTTGAATTCATCAAAAATTTGCCAAATTTGACATGGATATTTATATTGGCATGTAAAATCCTTTGTAAAAGTTTAAAGTCAAAAAGACTTGTCAGTAATGTCTAAATTACAATTTTTTTAGTTTTGGTCCGAGCTCTAGGGGTACCATCACATTTTTAAGCCAAATTTTAAATTAATCAAAAAACTTGCCAAATTTGACATGGATATTTATATTTACATGTAAAATCCTTTGTAAAAGTTTAATTTCAAAAAGATTTGTCAGTAATGTCTAAATTATAATTTTTTTAGTTTTGTTCCGAGCTCTAGGGGTACCATCACATTTTAAAGCCAAATTTTAAATTCATCAAAGAATTTGCCAAATTTGACATGGATATTTATATTTGCATGTAAAATCCTTTGTAAAAGTATAATGTTAAAAAAATATTGTCAGAGTTGTCTAAATTACAATTTTTTTTAGTTTTGGTCGGGGCTCTAGGGGTACCATCACATTTTTTAGCCAAATTTTAAATTCATCAAAAAATTTGCCAAATTTGACATGGATATTTATATTTGAATGTAAAATCCTTTGTAAAAGTTTAATGTCAAAAACACTTGTCAGTAATGTCTAAATTACAATTTTTTTTAGTTTTGGTCTGACCTCTAGGGGTACCATCACATTTTTAAGTCAAATTTTGAATTCATCAAAAATTTGCCAAATTTGAATTGGATATTTATATTGGCATGTAAAATTCTTTGTAAAAGTTTAAAGTCAAAAAGACTTGTCAGTAATGTCTAAATTACAATTTTTTTAGTTTTGGTCTGAGCTCTAGGGGTACCATCACATTTTTAAGCCAAATTTTAAATTCATCAAAAAATTTGCCAAATTTGACACAGATATTTATATTTGCATATAAAATCTTTTGTAAAAGTTTAATGTCAAAAACACTTGTCAAAATGTCTAAATTACAATTTTTTTAGATTTGGTCCGAGCTCTAGGGGTACCATCACATTTTTTAGCCAAATTTTAAATTCATCAAAAAATTTGCCAAATTTGACATGGATATTTATATTTACATGTAAAATCCTTTGTAAAAGTTTAATTTCAAAAAGATTTGTCAGTAATGTCTAAATTATAATTTTTTTAGTTTTGGTCCGAGCTCTAGGGGTACCATCACATTTTTAAGCCAAATTTTAAATTATCACAAAATTTGCCAAATTTGACATGGATATTTATATTTGAATATAAAATCCTTTGTAAAAGATTCATGTCAAAAAGACTTGTGAGTAATGTCTAAATTATAATTTTTTTAATTTTGGTCTCGAGCTCTAGGAATACCATCAGATTTTTTAGCCAATTTTTAAATTCATCAAAACATTTTGCCAAATTTGACATAAATATTTATATTTGCATGTAAAATCCTTTGTAAAAGTTTGATGTCAAAAAGACTTGTCAGTAATGTTTAAATTATAAATTTTTTAATTTGGGTTCCGAGGTCTAGGAGTACCATCACATTTTTTAGCCAAATTTTAAATTCATCAAAAAATTTGCAAAATTTTACATGCATATTTTTATTTGAATGTAAAATTTTTTTTAAAAGTTTAATGTCAAAAAGACTTGTCAGTAATGTCTAAATTAAAATTTTATAAATTTTGGCCTCGAGTTCTAGGGGTACCATCACATTTTTTAGCCAAATTTTAAATTCATCAAAAAATTTACCAAATTTGACATAGATATTTATATATGCATTTAAAATCCTTTGTAAAAATTTCATGTCAAAAAGACTTGTCAGTAATGTCTAAATTATAATTTTTTTAGTTTAGGTCTCGAGCTCGAGAGGTAACATCATTAATTTTGGCCAAATTTTAAATTCATAAAAAAATTTGCCAAATTTGACATGGATATTTATATTTGCATGTAAAATCCTTTCTAAAACTTTCATGTCAAAAAGACTTGTCAGTTATGTAAAAATTATAATTTTTTTAGTTTTGGCCTCGACCTCTATGGGTAACACCATATTTTTTGGCCAAATTTTAAATTAATCACAAAATTTGCCAAATTTAACATTGATATTTATATTTGCATGTAAAATCCTTTATAAAAGTTTAATGTATAAATTATAATTTTTTTTTTATTTTGGTCTTGGGCTCTTGGAGTACTATAACATTTTTTAGCCGAATTTTAAATTCATCACAAAATTTTCCAAATTTGACATGGATATTTATATTTGAATGTAAAATCTTTTGAAAAAGTTTCACGTCAAAAAGATTTTTCAGTAATGTCTAAATTATAATTTTTTTGTTTTGGCCTCGAACTCTAGGAGTACCATCACATTTTTTGCCAAATTTTAAATTCATCAAAAAATTTGCCAAATTTGAGATGCATATTTATATTTGCATGT